CAGACGCCTGGCTCCTGACACCCATATCCTCTTGGCACCATTGGAATCAACAGGTCCTCAACCTATGGTTACAGGGAACCTTCATTGATTTCTAACCTGAAGAAGTCCACATCTACTCATCCTTACTGTGGGGAGTCCTATCAACCCTTTCCTCCTAATCCTCAAACCCTCACTCCCTTCTCCACCCCTGTTCAGCAAGAAGCAGTCAGAGAGAAAGCAACGTCCACAAACCCATAGAGGAGAAAGGGGGGAATGAAGGGTCCTCACCAGTAAGATGGCAAACTTCCGGCTTCTTTTCAGGGTCCTCGGTTCCCACCGGGGCCACGTGAAGCCCAATCACCTCTTGCCCCCCCTCCCAATCCCAGCACCTAGCCAACAGCCAACAGCCCCGTAGAAGTAACACCACAATCACCCTATGCCCCTTCCTATATAACCCAGCACCTTTACCTAATAAAGCGGAACTCTCCGGTGAATTGCTGCTGTGTGTCGCTTCTTTCCTTTCAATAGCTATTGTGACAACTACTATTAAATCCACTGGTGGGTTGTGCTAGAAATCAAGGACTAAGAACTGCTGAGAATTGTTAAAAATAATTCATTCTTTTTGCTTTTGGTGTAAGATTTCTAAATTGTGAGCACACTAATTATAAAATTATATATTACATTTTTATCCCGTAATGCTTTATTTTCTGTCTTTAAATATCCAGAGCATGTGGGTATACATTCACTCACTCACTCATTCTTTTTTTTTCATTCAAAAAGAAATTATTCAGCTGCACTGTAGCTTCTCTACTCTCTTCTCCAGCCTGACTGTCAGGTTCTCAGGTCTTAGTGGCTGCAGCTCCACAAAAAGAAGGGATCTGGGTTTCTGAAAGACTGTGCTGAGTACTGAGGAAACTGGTGAAAATTGTCAGTAGGATGGACACTATCCTTCTGTGGCTTTTTATGACTCTATGTACTGGTAAGTCCATAAAGCTCTAAGTACCTTCCATTCCCCAAATCTCTGTATCCCAGGCAGTTCTTTCATCAGAAAGCAGTTATGCTTTGTAAACGCCAGGCATACCGTGGAGCCAACTCCATTTCCCTAGTGACAATGGATTGTACCAGTGACCAGCACCTGAGCCAGAGCTGCCCATCAAAGAAGGTGGAGTAATGGAGTGAAGGGAGATGTGCCAACAGGAGCAGATTGAATGGCCATCAGAGGAATGGCAACAGAGGGCCCAGACAGTATAGTCCTTGGAACAAAGAGAAGGCAGTGTTCAGGTTGTCCCCCAGACCTATGATACATTCCAGTGTACAGAATAGTAAAAGCAGGGAGCATTGTTCCCAGTGAAGCAATGTTGGGTATTTTCCCACTGCTCCCTGTGGAAACAAAACCGGTTAGCCGTGGCTCTCAATTTTTGGGGGTCTGTGGCTGCAGCAAGAAGGGTGCACTATCTACCAGAAATGTCCGTTCTTCCCATCATAGTTTGGAGGTGTTGGTGGGCAATGGCTGCATAACCCTACCCTAGGGATTATGTTCCTAGTACCTTTTGCACCTAGGTGGGACTATGAGTAGTAACCCACAGAGTGGAACTAGAAGTGCTATGTGTCACTTGCAGGCCAGGTTGGTTACGAGGTGACTTTTCCATGTTTTTTCCTCCACCTGCCAGATTCTGAGGCTCTAGGGGTAGAAGAGCCACAGTTGGAAGGAGCATAGGTCCCTGAATCACTGAGTGGAAGAAAACCAACTGCTGACCAAGAACATCCTTACTGGATGTGGGTGAGAAAGAATCCTGGAATTTGGGTGATTATAGGGGATGCCTGTCTTGTGGGCAATACCCCATTGCGGACAAAATGTGCGAAAGCGGCTACTGGAATAGCCAGATCCATTGTCCATTTTAATCAGCTTGGGAATGCCCATAACAGCAAAGCAAGAGAGGCAATGGCAAATAACTTGTGAAGTGGTTTCTCCAGAGAGAGCGGTAGCATGCAAGAAACCTGAATAGGTGTCAATGGTAACATGAACATATTTTAATTTTCCAAATTCAAGGATGTGCGTGACATCCATCTGCCACAGTGATTTGGCAGGCACTGTTGGTGTTCTCATAGGCCAACTGTGTGACTAGGGTGGTACTAGTCTCTGATTCTCCAAATGTTCTCCCTGCTGTCTTCAATAGGCGAGCTACAAATTCTTGAAATGGCTCATCAGGCCCTTGTGACCTCCTCTGTTCTACTAGTACTTTCTGGGAGAGCCTTCCATGCTCTTCTAGCCGTCGCATTTGTTTGAGCATATACTGCTAACTGAAAGACCAACTGTTGATCTACCTCAGCATATTGGCCTTCTCCCGCCAACATGTCAAAAACAATGGGCATTTGCTGAGCAGCATTAGTCCTAGCTGTTTTCTGACAATTCTCAATTTCCATAGCAGATAATCTCCCCCCTGTAAGACATGCATGTGCTAAGGCAAAGCTTCTGTAGTCATAGCTTCTAAGATGGTTAATGTAAACAGAGCAGTGGGGCCATATTTATTGCAGGCCTCTTTCAGCTTTTTCAACTGTTTGAAAGGAAATGGCACATGTTGTCTGAATACCTCTCCGTTGTCACCTGGCTGTTCTAACACTGAATAGGCAAAAAATTCTTGTGTGTCCTCTCCCTGATCTTGAGCTTGTTGTAGTACTGCCTCAAGAGGAGTAACCTTTCACTGTCTCTTCTGCATATTAACTGGGAGCACACGAGGCTTTTCTTCCTTAGACTCTACGGGCTGTTTTTCTTTCTGTTCTAAACTCTTCTCTGTCTTTTGCTCCACTGTTTTCTCTTTAGTTTGTTCTGAGGATATAGGCTGAACAGGATCAAAACCTGCCCTTTCAAGGGTAGCTGTTTCAGCCTTACTCACAGGGGAGTCTCTTCTCTTGGGGTGCGGCTGTCTCCCATCTTTTGCTGCACTTCTAAGGCTAAAGTAAGCTGCTTCAGGGTGCCCTGGATTTCATTCCACCGCTCTTCAAAAGGTATTCCGGATGGGTCTGCGGCGACTGTCTGCGTTGCTGTGAGCAGGGATGGATAAACTTTCTTGCTAGAGCCTATGGAGGCTATCTCTATTGTTTGCATCTCCTTATCACAAAGTTGAACTAAAGCTTCCTCTACGAGAGGGCTCTGTTCCTCCTCCATCTCCTCGTCTGAGCCGCTGTCTGGTTCGTGATAAGATGGCTCCCACCCTTCTGGTGCTTCTAATGGCGGTGCAGATGGGGAGATGGCTGGAGAAGCAAGATTGCTTTCATTTTCCTTAGTGGCTTGACCCGTACCAAGGGCATGCTCTTTCACATTTTCTATCTTAAATCCTTCATGCCTAAGATCTAAAGAATCTCTAATCAAGGTCCACAGTCCAAAAGTATCTACTGGAACCTTCTTTGGTCCGTGGGCAGAATAATAAGTTTGTAATCCCTCTCCTACCTTATTCCATAAATCTATGTCTACTGTTCCTTCTCCTGGAAACCACGAGCAGACTTCCTTAATAAAGTCTAAAAATCTTTCTAGTTGGGGCTTCCCTACTTTAATTCCCCTAATAGACAATAATTTCTTCAACCCACAGACATAAAGCTGTTTGCTTCTTGCCTATCCCATATTGGACTCCCAGAAAAATCACTTACCACGTCCACATTGCTTGCGCGCCTCTTCTCTTGCGCGTCTTCTCTAGTTACCCTGGCCAGGGCTTTCTCTTCTTGACATTGTGGCCCTCACCTTCTCCCTCTTCTTCAGGCCCCTGTTCGGGTGCCACTTGATGTGGTCCGGCCGTGCCAAGCCGAGCAGGTCCTGAAGTGTGGAAGGCGGGCGAAGAAAACAAAGACAGAAAGAACTGGGAGGGCTGATGCTCCTGCGCGTCGCCAGCAAAGCTTTATTAGAGTCCAGAGTATTTATACTGCAAAGAGGCACACTATCCCAGGAAATAGCATTATCCAATAAACAGTCAAGCACAATATTGACGTCAGCAGTAGCTGGGCAAAGGTAGGCACAGCAGGGCTCCTTCAGTTGCTCATGGAATGCGTAAACAGGATGTTCTTTGTTCTCCATTCCTGCCACATCAGCAAGTGGGGGAAGGGGCATCAGCCCGCTCCCCACATTTGGGAGTTTATTTGCTGCAGCATAACACTTAATGAATAGAACGGCATTCTTTTGAGTGCTAGTGTCTTTAGAAGCATGCTCAAAAAAGATGAAGTTGCATGGTTGCATGTATAAGAATTAACATTATTATACTGATCACATTTCACATGTGGCACTGTTTGAGTAGATTTACTGCCCTGATCACTCACCCTCTCTTAGATACTCATGAGGCAAGGTTCTTGGAGGCAAATATATAGTGTCTTTGTTTCTTCATGTGTATCCAGTTGTGCCCTGTACCACGCAGAAACTACGTGTGGCATAGCTCAACATTCTGTCTACTCAGAGTTGTGTTAGTGATGTGAATCACAATCGTAGCAAAAGGAAACTTTATCCATCAGTTGCAGAGCCCTAGTGAGGAGTCACAATAGTCCCCCTTGCCACTTTAGTTGAAAGCCACCTTTTACAGTTGCCTGGTCAGGACTTGCTGCCGGCAATCCAAAAAACAACAAAGGTCAGGTGTGGCTATACTAGTACACTCTGCATTAGGAAATATAATTTATTAAACATTTCCCATATTTTTTGAAAATTTAGGTTATTACCAATTCTTACAGTCATAAATAATTATATATAAAGGACTACTTTTGAATATACATCATTGCTCATATTTATTTTCTTAGGATAGATTCTTATCAGGGACTATCTTTTTGTTTATGTGGATATGAAGGGACAATTAGGGATTAGATTCTGTGAGGGTGGACAGGAGGGAAAAGCTTGTGCTAGTGCATGGAATTGTAGGATAGTGGTCTATTACAGGAATTGTTCCACTCTTAATGGAAGAGTACAAAGTTCCTTAGGTCCTTGGATGGGGAGGAGTACCAGAGGGAGGTGCCTTTCTTTGGGCACCTGAGATATTCTGCTAAGGAGTGTGGAACTAATTTCTGACAGGTAACAGAGTCACTGAAGAATGTTACAGGGGGAATGAGTGACTCTCCTACTTACCACCTTTGTAGGTCTGGGCAAGTCATCGCACCACTGTGAACCTGAGTCTCCTTATGGGTAAAAGAGGGGTGGACATCTGTTTTCTGGGGCAACAGAAAAGAATGAGCCAGCTGATAACCTGAAGGCATCCAGCCCAGCCCCACAGGCAGCCGGTTCTGCATTGTAGACCCAGCCTCTCTGAGAAAGCTGAAGCTTTAAGCCAGACAGGGCTGTTCCATGACCCAAGGTCTCTGGTATGTGATTCGTGGGTAAATGATTTTAAGCAGACTTTCCTCTAGGGCACTGGGAGGGCTCAGCTGAGGCTGTACTTGCTGTGCTAATATGTCTCTTGGAGCAGCAGAAGCTGAAAGGCTGTAGCTTTTTTTTTAAAAAAAATGCAGGAGAACTCTCAGCTCTGGGTTAGAAGCCACATATTTCCTTCTATAGGTTAGCTGCTGTAACTCTGGGTGGGAGGAAATATTTTCCCAGCCTGGGGCAAATTGCCTTTGAAACTGAAGTCAGTCAAAGGGAGAAATAGTGGGAGAAGCCTGTTTATTGCTCACAAGCAGTCATCTATTTGTGCTCGCCGGTGTCTCCCACAACACGGCTGCAAAAGGGACCCCACCCAACCTCTCTGGTCCCTCACTCCCCCTTGTGATTACCTATTGATATGGAGATGGACTACTTCTCTCCACCCTTTGGAAACACTATTGATGTGGAGATGCACTAAGGCCAGGTGAGAGATTCTGGAAATATTGCAATTTTACCCACAGTTGCAAAGTCTATGATTATAATCTATCACATGTTTTACTGAGCACCTACTAATACCCAGCATGTTCTAGATACTGGGGATATATCAGTGACCAAGACAGATAAATTTCTGCCCTCATGGACCGTACAGTCTAGTGGGAAAGACAAAATAAAAGGGGGAAAACTAAGCTAATCTAAAAGTTTTGGTATGTTGTAATGAGAGCCATTATGGGAAAAGCAAGAGTCTGAATGAAAGAATTGAAGGAGACTCATTTTAGGCAGGAAATCAGGGAAAACTACACCGAGGGGACATTTAAACCCAGACTTAGAGGAAGAAGAGGAAGTAGAGTTGCAAATAAAGGAGGGGCTAGGAGGAGGCTTTCCCATGGAGGGAAGAGCACACGCAGGTTAGGGGCTGGGAGGAGGGGAGAGAACTTGGTCTGAGAGGAAATTTCAAATACCACCAATGTGCCGGCAGCATGGTGAGCAAAGGGGAGGGTAATATGAGATGAAGTGGGAGAGGCAGTATGTACACTAAGGATCAGAGGTTAAGGGTACAGGCTTGGGAGTGATTCATATTTTTTCTGCCACTCTCAGCTACGTGATCTTGGACATATCACCTAATTTTTCTCATTTGAAATATGGACTTGATAGTAGTACCTGCCTCATACGATGTGGGTAAAATTGTAATATTTCCCGAATATCTTGCCTGGCTCTAGTGCATCTGCATATCAACAGGCTTTCCTGGTGGAGAGAAGTAGTTCATCTCCATATCACCTGGACAATTGAGGGGCTTACCTGAACCTGAGAGGTTGCGGGGAGGTCTTGCTTGCTTCTGCCAGAGCAGGAAAGAGAAACGGCCCCCTGACTGCTGTTTGTAAGCAATAAATGGGTTTTAAACTTTATTTCTCCCTTTGACTGGTTTCAGTTTTAGAGATATTTTGCCCTGGGATTTCCTCTCCCTGGAGTTACATGCAGATGTTGAAAGGAAAAAAAAGAGGAGGTGTGAACTCAACAGTCCATGCAGGTTTATTGCTAAACCTGAGAGGGACCCCTCTGTTCTGGCCAGCAGAAAAAAAAAGGAAAAGGTCTTTTACGGGCTAAGAGGCTTTTTATGGTAAGGGTTTTTGGCGGGCTCTTTGATGGAGGAGGGGTCAGGGAAGAGATGGGATTGTGGCTTGCTGATGTGTCCTCTGGAGAATTCTTGTAGTCTAAGAAAGATGAAACCTAGGTCTCTCTGAGATGGTAGGCGGGCTTATTCAAAAAGGCGGTAGTCCTGTCCAGATTCTATAAGTTGTGAATGTAAATGAGAAAATATATGTAAATGCTTAGCAGAGTGCCTGGTACATAGCAAGCACCCCCCTCAGGTTAACTACAATTATTATTAATAAGTGGAGGGGACATATCGCCAGCACCCAGAACAGACAGACTTGTATTGAATCCTGGCTCTGCTGCAAGATTGCTGTGGCCATGGGCAAGTAGGTCTCTGTGCCTTCTGTTTCCTCGTCCATAAAATTAATTTCAAATTTCTATCCTGGGGGGAGGGGGCAGGTCATTATGGTGATTATATGACATGATTTATATGCAGCCATCTTCAGTGTAGATGCCAACCTCTCAATGTCTTTGAATTATTTTAAAATATTTTCCTGAATAGGTCCATTCCCTAAGTAAACACTCATAAAAAAGGCAGTCAAAACCGGAATGAAAATCCATTATAAGCTTGTGCGTCTGCTTATGTTATAGTTTGGGGTTGCTGACAAAGTAAAACCTGGGAATTCTAGCCTTCCTTTTCCACTTTCCAGACATAAGGGACCCTGATTCCCAGGGCTCTTGCAAGGAGGGAGAGAGAAAAAGACCCTGTACCTGGAGGTAGGTAATTAGGCCAGAATATAACACCAGCTTGTCTGAGCTCTGGGCATACCTGGCGTTGGGCAAGACCTCTGCAACATAACAACTGTTCTCCATGGGCTACAGGGCTGCCAGTCACCGTGCCGTTCCCTTTTCTTTGTAGCACTTGAGAACCAGTGTTGTTCCAGGCAGACTTTCTGGGGGCTGTATGAAAGGAAAGTTATTTAAGCCAGAAATAGTGTGTTCATCGATGATATGGAATGTGGCTGGAGAGGGTTCAGACCCACAGAACTGTGACTGCAGTGGGTTCCTGGTGACTAAAACCCCTTGGGAAAGGCTGGCGGCTGTTTGGTATGAACTGATGCCTCAAATGTTAGTGAACAGCTAGCTCTGGGGGTTCCAAGCAATCCTGTTTCTGAGCTGGAAGCCAGGGGAAGCTGCTATGGGGTGCTCTGGGAAATGTTTACAGATTTGTACTGGGATAGAGGGCGTGTCCTTGCTTACTAGCTAATGCTGTGGAACCCTCTGCTGGTTGCAAAGTGAGTAGCTCTGCTACTGGGTTTACTTTCTCCTGAGTAGCCCTGGCAGAATAGGGAGCAGAAGTCTTGTCTAGAAACCTGGATTGTATATGGGACTGGGAAGTCACCTCAGATGGCTTGAGATGGAGGCTGTGATTTAGACTGGCACCCTGTTGCATTTGCTCATGGCTTTGGTAGCACCTCGCAGGGCTTGAGCAGTGGACACAGTGATCTCTTGTGTACAAGATGCAAAAAAAAAATGGTGAAGAGATGTTAGGTTGAACTAGTGTTTGGTGCCTTATGGATCAAAACCTCAATTATGGCATAGATTTCAACCAGTTTTATTTGTTGCCTTAAAAAAAATTTTGGTATCATTAATATACAATTACATGGGCAACATTGTGGTTACTAGATTCTCCCCATTATCAAGTCCCCACCACATACCCCATTAGTCACAGTCCTTCAGTGTAGTAAGATGCTATAGAGTTACTACTTGTCTTCTTTGTGCTATACTGCCTTCCCCATGTCCCCTTACTTTATTCGTGCTAATCGTAATGCCCCTTTTCCCCCTTATCTCTCCCTTCCCACCCATCCTCCCCATGTCCGTTTCCCTTTGATAACTGTTAGTCCATTCTTGGGTTCTGTGAGTCTGCTGCTGTTTTGTTCCTTCAGTTTTTGCTTTGTTCTTATACTCCACAGATGAGTGAAATCATTTGATACTTGTCTTTCTCTGCCTGGCTTATTTCACTGAGCATAATATGCTCTAGCTCCATCCATGTTGTTGCAAATGGTAGGATTTGTTTTCTTCTTATGGCTGAATAATATTCCATTGTGTGTATGTACCACATCTTCTTTATCCATTCATCTACTGATGGACACTTAGGTTGCTTCATTTCTTGGCTATTGTAAATACTGCTGCGATAAACATAGGGGTGACATATGTCTTTTTCAAACTGGGCTGCTGCATTCTTAGGGTAAATTCCTAGAAGTGGAATTCCTGGGTCAAATGGTATATCTATTTTGAGCATTTTGATGAACCTCCATACTGCTTTCCACAAAGGCTGAACTACTTTACATTCCCACCAGCAGTGTAGGAGGCTTCCCCTTTCTCCACATTTGTTGTTGTCTGTCTTTTGGATGTTGGCCATCCCAACTGGTGTGAGGTGATATCTCATTGTGGTTTTAATTTGCATTTCTCTGATGATTGGCCATGTGGAGCATCTTTTAATGTGTCTGTTGGCCATCTGAATTTCTTCTTTGGAGAATGTCTGTTCAGCTCCTTTGCCCATTTTTTAATTGGATTATTTGCTTTTTGTTTGTTGAGGTGCACGGGATCTTTGTATATTTTAGATGTTAACCATTTATCGGACAGGTCATTTATGAATATATTCTCCCATACTGTAGGATGCCTTTTTGTTCTATTGATGGTGTCCTTTGCTGTACAGAAGTGTTTTTTTGATATAGTCCCACTTGTTCATTTTTGCTTTTGTTTCCCTTGCCCGTGGAGATATGTTCATGAAGAAGTTGCTCATGTTTATATCCAAGAGATTTTTGCCTATGTTTACTTCTAAGAGTTTTATGGTATCATGAGTTACATTCATGTCTTTGATCCATTTTGAGTTTACTTTTAGTATGGAGTTAGACAGTAATCCAGTTTCATTCTCTTACATGTAGCTGTCCAGTTTTGCCAACACCAGTTGTTGAATAGGCTGTCCTTTCTCCATTGTATATCCACGGCTCCTTTATAATATACTAACTGACCATATATGCTTGGGTTTATATCAGGCTCTCTATCCATTGGTCTATGGGTCTGTTCTTGTGCCAGTACCAAATTGTCTTACTGTGGCTTGTAGTAGAGCTTGAAGTTGGGAAGTGAGATCCCCCCCTGCTTTATTCTTCCTTCTCAGGATTGCTTTGGTAATTCGGGGATCTTTTGTGGTTCCATATGAATTTTAGAACTATTTATTCCTGTTCACTGAAGAATGCTGTTGGTATTTTCATAGGGATTGCATTGAATCTGTAGATTGCTTTAGGCAGGATGGCCATTTTGATAATATTAATTCTTTCTACCGAAGAGCATGGGATAAATTTTCATTTATTAGTGTCCTCTTTAATTTCTCTTAAGAGTGTCTTGTAGTTTTCAGGGTATAGACTGAATTCCTTAGTTAGGTATTTTATTCTTTCTGATGCAGTTGTGAATTCAGTTGTTTTCCTGATTTCTCTTTCTGCTAGTTCATCATTAGTGTATAGGAAAGCCACAAATTTATGTTTATTAATTTTGTATTCTGCAACTTGCTGAATTCAAAAATTAGTTCTAGTAGTTTTGGAGAGGATTCTTTAGGGATTTTTATGTATAATATCATGTCATCTGCAAACAGGGACAGTTTGACTTCTTCCTTGCCAGTCTAGATGCCTTTTATTTCTTTGTGTTGTCTGATTGCCATGGCTAGGACCTCCAGTACTATGTTGAATAAAAGCAGGGAAAGTGGGCATCCTTGCCTTGTTCCTGATCTGAAAGGAAAAGCTTTCAGCTTCTTGCTGTTAAGTATGATGTTGGCTGTGGGTTTGTCATATATGGCCTTTATTATGTTGAGGTACTTGCCCTTTGTACCCATTTTGTTGAGAGTTTTCATCATGAATTGATGTTGAATTTTGTTGAATGCTTTTTCAGCATCTATGGAGATGATCATGTGGTTTTTGTCCTTCTTTTTGTTGATGTGGTAGATGACGTTGATGTATTTTCAAATGGTGTACCGTCCTTGCATCCCTGGGATAAATCCCACTTGATCATGGCCTATGATCCTGTTAATGTATTGTTGAATTTGGTTTGCTAATATTTTGTTGAGTGTTTTTGCGTCTATCTTCATCAGTGATATTGGTCTGTAGTTTTCTTTTTTTGTGCTGTCTTTGCCAGGTTTTGGTATTAGAATGATGCTGGCTACATAGAATGAGTTTGGAAGTATTACCTCCTTTTCTATTTTTTGGAAAACATTAAGGATAATGATATTATGTCTTTCTTAAATTTCTGATACAATTCAGTGGTGAATCCATCTGGCCCAGGAGTTTTGTTCTTGGGAAGTTTTTTGATTATCAATTCAATTTCATTGCTGGTAATTCATCTGTTCAGATTTTCTGTTTCTTCCTGGGCCAGTCTTGGAAGTTTCAATTTTTCTAGGAGGTTGTCATTTCTTCTAGGTTTTCTAGTTTGTTAGCATATAAATTTTCATAGTATTCTATAATAATTCTTTGTATTTCTGTGGGGTCCATCATGGTTTTTCCTTTCTCATTTCTGATTCTGTTTATATGTGTAGATTTTTTTCTTAGTAAGTCTGACTAGAGGTTTATCTGTTTTGTTTATTTTCTCAAAGAACCTGGTATTGATTTCATTAATTTTTTTCTATTGTTTTATTTTTTCAATTTTATTTATATCTTCTCTTTATTATGTCCCTCCTTCTACTGACTTTGGGCCTCATTTGTTCTTCTTTTTCTAGTTTCAATAATTGTGAATTTAGACTATTCACTTGGGCTTGTTCTTCCTTCTTTAAATAGGCTTAGATTGCTATATCCTTTCCTGTTAGAACTCCCTTTGCTGTGTCCCACAGAAGTTGGGGCATTGTGCTGTTGTTTTCATTTGTCTCCATATATTGCTTGATTTCTGTTTTAATTTGGTCTTTGATCCATTGATTGTTTAGGAGCATGTTCTTAAACCTCCATGTGTTTGTGGCCTTTTTATTTTCTTTGTACAATTTATTTCTAGTTTTATACCTTTGTGATCTGAGAAATTGGTTAATACAATTTCAATCTTTTTTTGAGGCTCTTTTTGTGGCCTAGTATGTGGTCTATTCTGAAAAATGTTCCATGTGCACTTGAGAAGAATGTGTATCCTGCTGCTTTTGGGTGGAATGTTGTATAGATGTCTTTTAGGTCCATCTGTTCTAATGTGTTGTTGAGTGCCTCTGTGTCCTTACTTATTTTCTGTGTGGTGGATCTGTCCTTTGGAGTGAGTGGTGTGTTGAAGCCTCCTAAAATTAATGCATTGCATTCTGTTTCCTCCTTTAATTCTGTTAGTATTTGTTTCACATATGTTGGTGCTCTTGTATTGGGTGCATATATATTTATAATGGTTATATCCTCTTGTTGGACTGAGCCCTTTATCATTATATAATGTCCTTCTTTATCTCTTGTTGCTTTCTTTGTTTTGAGGTCTACTTTGTCTGATACAAGTACTACAACTCATGCTTTTTTCTCCCTATTGTTTGCATGAAATATCTTTTTCTATCATTTCACTTTTAGTCTGTGTATGTCTTTGGGTTTGAAGTGAGTTTCTTGTAAGCAGCATATAGATGGATCTTGCTTTTTTATCCATTCAGTGACTCTATGTCTTTTGATTGGTGCATTCAGTCTGTTTACATTTAGCGTTGATTATTGATAGGTATGTACTTATTGCTGTTGCAGGCATTGGATTCATTGTTACCAAAGGTTCAAGGGAAGCTTCTTTACTATCTGTCTAACTTAACTCACTTATAATGCTTTTATAAACACAGTCTGATGATTCCTTATTTCTCTCACTTCTTTTTCTTCCTTCTCTACTCTTTATATGTTAAGTGTTTTATTCTGTACTCTTTTTGTTTCCCTTGACTGATTTTTGTGGATAGCTGATTTTATTTTGCATGTAATTAGTATTTGGTTAGTGTACTTTCTTTGCTGTGGTTTTATTTTCTCTGGTGACAGCTATTTAGCCTTAGGCATAGTTTCATCTTGATCAGTCCCTTTAAAATACATTGTAGAGATTGTTTGTGGGAGGTAAATTCCCTCAACTTTTGCTTCTCTGGGAATTGTTTTATCCCTTCTTCAAATTTAAATCATAGTCTTGCTGGATACAGTATTCTTGGTTTGAGGCCCTTCTGTTTCATTGCATTAAATATATCATGCCACTCCCTTCTGGCCTGTAAGGTTTCTGCTGAGAAGTCTGATGATAGCTTGATGGGTTTTCCTTTGTAGGTGACCTTTTTTCTCTCTCAGCTGCTTTTAATACTCTGTCCTTGTCCTTGATATTTGCCATTTTAATTATTATATGTCTTGGTGTTGTCCTACTTGGGTCCCCTGTGTTTGGAGATCTGTGGGCTTCCCTGGTCTGGGAGACTGTTTCCTTCCCCAGCTTGGGGAAGTTTTCAGCAATTATTTTTTCAAAGACACTTTCTATGCCTTTTTCTTTCTCTTCTTTAATGCGAATATTTTTCCGTTTGGATTGGTCACACATTTCTCTTAATATTCTTTCATCCCTAGAGATCTTTTTATCTCTCTCTGCCTCAGCTTCTCTGTATTCCTGTTCTCTGATTTCTATTCCATTAACACCCTTTTCCACTTCATACAGTCTGCTCTTAAATCCTTCCATTGTTTGTTTAATTTCTGTTATCTCCCTCCTGAATTCTTCCTTTAGCTCTTGAATATTCTCTATAGCTTCATCAGCATGCTTATGACTTCTATTTTGAATTCTTTTTCAGGAAGGTTGGTGATTTCAGTCTCACTAAGCTCTCTCTCTGGTGTTTGGGACATTTTGGAGTGAACAAGATTCTTCTGCCTTTTATGGTAATGGTGGTAGTTGCCAGCAAGTGGCGCATGTGTCAGCTGGGAGAACAGAGTCTCTTCCTGCTTGCTGGTGATCTTGCCTGTCTCCACTGTCTGTTCCAGCTACCTGCACACAGGGAGCAGCCTGGGGGTTAATCTCCTAAGCTGCCATGGGCGGGGTGGCCTCCGAGATGGCCTAGGGCAATGGCGTGGGTTGCAGGCCAGCAGCACGTTTTCTGCTGCAAGAGCAAAGCCCCTTTGTGCTTCCTGGTCTTTATGCCCATCTCCGCTGTCTGTGCTGGTCAACTGTGTGCAGGGAGCAGGCTCTGGGTTAATCCCCTGAGTTCCTGTGGGCAGGGTGGCCCTCAGCATGGCCTAGGGCACTGGCAGGGGTCGCAGGCAAGTGGCGTGTGTTCTGCCATGAGAACCAAGCCCCTTCCTGCCTCCAGGACCCTGTGCCTGTCTCCTAGGGCTTGTTATTTAGCAGTCCTGTACTTCCACTCCCTCCACACTCTGATTGTTTTACTCCCACCGGTGAACTGGGGTTGGGGGAGTGCTCGGGTCCTGCCGGGTCATGGCTTTGTATGTTAGCCTTTTCCGTGAGATGTTGGGTTCTTGCAGATGTAGCCTGGCTGGTGTACTATATCTTCTGGTAACTCTTTTAAGAATAGTCATGTTTGCTGCATTTTCAAAATATATACGGTTTTGGGAGGAGATTTCCACCACCCTACTCACACCGCCATCTTTTTCTCTCTCTCTGTTGGCTTTTAAATTAATTCATTCAATCAGTTTTGAGCAAAGATAGTCTGAAAACCCAAGTGCCTCGTTATTGAAGGATGTATTTGTTAGAGCAGTTTTGAAGTCTACATTGGTCATATCATATAAGGACAAAAATGTAATCCAAGTCTCACTTATTAAATGTTAATATAATACATTTATAGTCTACAAAGCTCTGTCTCATACATTACCTTATTTTTTCTGTATAATCACCCCAAGAAGTATTTCAGATTGATTAGTGTTATGGTTATAGTAATTCATTGTGGCTTACATATTTTATCTCTGAGTCTCACAAAAGCCCTGTAAGATAGATGCTAAGTCTATTTTCAGATGAGAAAAGGAAGCTCAGAGAGGTTAAATAATTTACTTAAGGGCATACATATGGTCCTCTTAGAACGGAGACAAGCCGAGTCTCAAAGCCTCCCTCTTGCTACAAGCTCACTGTGCCTTTCTTTGGGGAGAAGCTGCATAGGAACAAGACCATAATGTAGGCAGGAACATGAAGAATGTTCACAAATAGCTCTGATAATGTGATGGTGTGTGTGCGGCCATTGTTGTACAGGTATAGAGAGTAAGACTAGAAGGAATTCTGAACAGTAAACTCCTGGCTAGGATCCTTAAGAATAACTTCATGGGAGACATGAGATCTGATGAGCCTTGCAGGTTGGGTCACTTTCCCACATGGGCTTCAGTGGGGCATGTGGAACTGGAACTGAGGGGAGGGCCATCCAGGGGGAGGACTCCATGAATAAAAATGCAGGGACAAACATGCAGGACACATTTGGAGACACAGCAGTGCAGCTAGAAAAAAGGAATTGGGTAAGGGAGCAGGGCTAGATTATTAATGCCTTTGAATTCCAGGCTAAAGATTTAAATTATAGACACAACTGTACCACAGATGGTGGAACTGCCAACTAGAGGTGGGAGAGATGATGGTGGTGAGGCTGGTGATGGTGCAGGCCTGAATTGGAGTGACAGTGGCAAGAATGGACAGGAAGGCACAGATTTGAGAGAGAGCTTCAGGGAGAATCTGTAGGGCTGCCACTAGTGAGCTGTGGGGCCTGAGGGAGAAGAAAGAGCACAACCACTTGGAATATTCCAGCCTGGGGCACCTGGTTCATGGCAGATGGAGACACTGGTTTGGGAAGGAAGGTGCCAAACAGGCTACCCATGGGATTTCTAGGTGGAAGTGACCTGCTTTGTGATTTATCTGAAAATTTTTGCTCCACCCCTGGCATTGTGATCTGGGGGAGCGTGTAGACAGACACTGGCTCTCCCAGTTGTCACTTTACAAAGAGCTGTTCCCTGGGCAACACCCTATAGCTCCCTGCACATACCTGTGATCAGGTTGGGATCCTGGCAGGTTGCCTGGCACTAGCATTGTGTTTCCTAATCAGGTACAAGCCATCTAGTGATGAGAGTAGCAGAATGGGATTTAGAAAGCTGAGTGCAACTGCTGGTGCTTTAGGGAATGAATGCACAGATGAAGGAGCACATTACTTACGCTTGAGGAATTCACACTGCAGCTGAGGAAACAGGCTGTAATAGAGAGCAACAAGGAGAGGTCAGAAGGTAGACACGCTGGCTGATGATAGAACCAGACACCCTTAATATGCTAGTCTGATGTCATTGACACCACAAACCCTCCCCGAACTGCCTCCTAGATCTGGTTGGCTGTTGGTCCTCAGACCTCTCTTTGCAACTCATGTCCCTTATCACAGGGTATAGAAATAATGTTTTACCAGCTACCTAGACATCCCTTTGCCCATCACCTGGAGTCAGGTGGACTTTGTTTTGCCTATTACTTGGAAAAAGTTCTCAGTTTCTCAGTGCCTTAGTTGCCTTCTCTGTAAAACAGGTGTTAATAATTGAGCTAATGTTAGTGGATTATTAAACGGAATAAGATAATATGTATAAAGCTTTTAGTGTATGGCACAAAGTAAGTACTCAGAAATACTAGGTACTACCATTGTTACTATTAATACCAACAGTAAGGGTATAACACTTAGGATATAGAAAAAACTCGAGAAATTTATGTTGAATTATGTGGAATTGAGTTCCACGTGAAGGAAAAAATATCAAAGATGCAGAGGCAGTGGAAAGCCTTGCAAGCCAAGTTGAAGAGCTTGTTCTTGTTAAAATGCAGAGACATAGACTAGCATGGAGAGCTGGGGAAGCATGACTGGTTAGGCTTTTGCTGATGGGAGAGACTGTAGAGACCTTAAGGGGAGAGGTCAGAGGCTGAGTTTGGGAATGACCAAATTAAGGCACAGAGAAAGAAGATGGAAAACACGAAGAATGAGAGGTTGCTGAAAGGAAGAAGTGATCCTTCAGAAAGGTCTGGTGCAGGACATGTACAGGATTAGCCAGGAACATTTTATACCAGCAAGTGAGGAAGTTATCACAGACTACTGGGGTCATATCAAAGGAACTTGGGACCCAACTCAACTAAAAGGAGTTCTTTCTGGCCAAACATAGGACAATATGAGCATCAATAAGGACAATAACTGAAGCGCATGAAATATGCTTCAATCTCTTGGGGGTTGAGTTTGTTCTCCTTGGTTCTTGTCCTCCCCGCAACAAAGAATTGAAGGGCAGAGACACAGTAGTGAAGCAGTTAAGGTTTTATTTACATTCCAAGGGAGGAGAGGGCAAAAGTCAAGTTAGACAAAGGCAAGTTTACTTTGATAAAGCAGAAGGGAAGGAGAAACACAGGGAGGGAAGGGAAGCTCCTGCTTGGCATGGGACATATCCCTTGCCAACTCCTAAAGCCATGGTCACCCAGCATCCAGTGTCTGCTTGAATCTTCACAGCATGGCAACTAAGCCCCTACCATCCCAGAATTTGGGGGAGCTGCAGAGCTCACTGGATGGAATGAGATTATGTTCTCAGAACTTCCCAAAGGCAAAGAAAGGAGATATTTGAATGCAGACTCCTAAAGAGCATGATCGTGCATCTGCAGTTCCATCAGGTCACCCAGGCCATGGGAACTTGCAAGCTCAAATCAGAGCTCTCAGCAGCCACTCCCTATTTATCTGGAGTAGAACAGAGTGACGAACTCAAAGAAAGGCATGTGTGTGAAACCTCAGAGAGGAGGTGCACTTAAGGTTTTAGGGTCTGAGGGTTTTTTTTT